TACAAACCTTTATGGTGTGTAGACAGGCTTATTTCCTTATTTAATAGTGGTCTGGGTGACCGTTTCTGATTATCTTTTTCATTTTCTCTTTGCGATATATCAATTATATTACTTAATCTGTACTTGTATAAGTTGACAGGTTTGATATAGCCTTCTTCTGTGAAACTGTTACGTTGCATGTTGGGTTCGGATGAAGGGTTATAGCCAGAGACAATGTTCATGAAGTGATCTCCAGAGATAATATTATTTTGAGTGCCGGTATCCATTTTAAAGCACGCTTTATTTTTGTTTAAATATTAATGCGTTTTATTCAGTCTAATGGATCATTAACGAAATGGTTTGATGATACTCGACTCTGATGCTATTACGCGCACTCTGCCCGTTAAAATGCTAATGTATTATTAACTCATTTTGCATTAAACGTAGTTTTATCAGAGGTCTCTAAACCATTTTGTGGTAGATATACTTTCTATTTACGATTGTCATAAATCATCAGTCACCAATATAACTGAGATTCTGTTTTGGTTAGTAGCGTCTTAATTTTTTTTTACATTTCTTTTTACAATATTTTTTTACAAATATTTATAATAATAAGACGTCCGTCATGACATGTACATGACTTTTGTCAAAGGCGTCAGGCGTTTGACAGTTGGTATTAAATAAGAAAAAATATGGTTAACAGAAATTTGGGCTTTTTGCAAAATCATCTTTTCTTATAATATAAAGTGACGGGACGAGAGTAGAGTACCTGGTGGTAAGTAATACGCCTGTCCATAGCAGTTGCAGTACCATTCAGAGTTTCAAAGACCCGAGAGGCGCTGTCACTGCGCCCGTTACCCTGAGACACAAGTTGACAAGTCCCATATGCCTGTCATTTCGCTACAGACCATATACATATGTACGTATATGGTTCAACCTATCGTGATTGCCTACACGTGAGCTTCTGCACATTTATACACTTATGCGAATATCATGTGATATGAATTTAAAATAACCATTTAAAATACGCAATTAATTTAAATTTAATTGGAATTATATTAGGCATTGTTGTGGGCTTTGTGTTCCTAAATGTACTAAACTAAAGATTAAAATACGAATTTTAATACCATTATGCATTGTTGTGAGCTATATGAGCCCAAATGCATCATATGATAGTTTCACATCTTTGTATTTACGTTTACGAGTTTATTGTTGTTCGAATGAAATACGTTATTATTATAATCATTTTCACAGTGTTTTCACACAATACATTTTGCATGTTTTCAACATTTTCATCTGCCACAACTCAGTAATGTCTATACTGCCTAAGTCAATAATACCTGATGTATATATAGGGTGTAATCGTTAAGTGTGCATAGGCGATTATACCATAAATATAGGAGATATCAAGAAGCTTTAAACTAATATACTCTCGAAACTCGAAAATACGTCACCTAATGAGTAAATCGACATCAATAAATTATTTAAAAAAATTTAACGTTATATAGGTACTCCCATACATTTGTAGGACATACAAAAGTTATTGATGACCGATTTACTCATTAGGTTACTTTCGATGTCAGTTTAAGGTTTTTTGATATCTCTTATATTTATGGAATAATCGTCTGGGTACATTTAACGATTATACCCTGTATATATTATTATCAGAACTCTGCGTTAATTTACGTGTAGGTGGAGACTACTACCAGCCAGCTTCTCCTCTAGCCGTAAGACGCTGCTAACATCTGCGGGAGCGACCTAGGTGATCCAAGGTCTTGTATAACCCTAAAGATGGTTGTATATAGATTCTGCATGAAGGACTGTAGCGTCGATCATTCTATATCTTGCTAAGGCAGTCTTATCTTGTAATGGCGCTAGGAGCATGTCGTAACTGACCTAGACGTATAAGGGGCCTAACTTGGTTTGGTGTAAGGCCTCCCTAGCCTTGTACATTCGTTCAAATCCTGCTAAAATTTAATTCATAGTGGATTTCACACCACGTATTCAATTTAAAGGTGGAGAAATTGTAAACTCTGGGTGAGTTGCTGTTCATCAGTTGCGTTATTACAGTATTTTATGCTGTTTTGTACCGTACCGACCCTTAGAGTATACGAGAAGGGTACTATAACCTGTGCGCGCACAGAATCCTTACAAGTTCAGGTTCCGACCCCACACAGCCAGTGTTACAGGGTTGTCGCAGACCTCTGTCCTGTATCCTCCCTATTTTCCAGATAGGTACCGGAGCTGTAGGTCCACGCACTTCCCGATGCCGAAAAACGATGTCTCTCCAGTTCCCAAAAACTTAAGACGCTGGAGGGACCGGACAATATCTAGCTTGTCCTCTACTAGCTCTCCGGGCTAGTGTCTAGTTGTAGACTCCTGCGACTAATCCGGACATAGCTTCCAACTTAAAGAGCAATTTACGTACCCCTCGCGTCTCCTCGCTTCAGGCTCTCAACTAAATCGCTTCTAAAACGGGCTAGCTGGCCACGAGACAGACGCTCCGGCCACATGCTACCGGGGTAGATAATGATGTCCGTCTCTGCAGCTTACCACAAACGAGTCCATACCCAAGTCAAGTGTTAGCGCATGAACACTTGAAAAGGATACCCGGTGTGACTTTCTTACTCTCACGGATTTTTAGATTTATTCTGCTGTTAGGGAATATATCGAGCTATTCCCGCCGACTTAGTGCAAGCGACAAAAAATAAATTTTACAGGAGAGGATTTTCTTGAAAATATTTCTACATATAAATGTGATATTCAATTGAATGTTATTAAACAATAATGAATATAGTAACCGATTGAGTAACAGCTAAAAAATTTTTAAAAGCCTTTTTTGGCGCTTACAATATTTTTGCTATCTATCTAAAGATATGAGAGGCATTTCAGGTAACACGGAGGTACTGCCACCTTACTTATTTCTGTCGCCAAGCGGTAATGTGAGCATTACTGTGTTCCGGTTTTGAAACGTAAGGGTGTTGGTGAAATTACAGGCACTTGAGACTAGTGAATTACGTGAGAAATAATTTGAATTAGATCAAGATACCCCTTGTCCTTCTTATTGTATCGATGGCGTACACTATAACGCTTACTATCGAGGTAAAAGGATTTGCCAATCGGGGTAAGGTACTCACCGATTGTTGCCGTCAACGTGTGGGCAGATTTCCTTCTTGTATCCAAAACCCAAACCCGAACTCATGATACAAATGTGCAGAGTGGTGCGTATAATATCATTGACTGAATGATATAACATAGCGCATATTCTATAAAAAGCAGAGAAGCATTCTAACAAACACAAAGCCTTTGTTAAACGACTCGACTTAAGAAGCAGTCTAATGAAAAACAATGCAGGGTGAGCGGAGAGCGGTTCGCCACCCGCCCCCACGCACTTAACGACTAATTGCCGCTTCACGATTCTTCACACCTATAACGCTGTCTGGAGTTAAAGTAATACTTATGTGGAATGTGTATAAGAAAATTATCGTTGGGTAGGACATCCACGTAGATTTGTAAAAAGTATCTCTGTCTACCTTATGAGCCATACTTCCTCTACTACATTTTTATTAAACAACGAACTCTAGTTAGCCTCGAACATTAGGTAAATAAGTTTCTTCTAAAAGATTGAAATACCTTTATTTGATTGCCACAAATAACACTACAAAGGAATAAAAACAAAAACGAATGATAAAATAAAATAAATGACGAAAATAAAATAAATTTCAACATAACATTAAATATTTAAGAGAAAATAAACAAAATCCCACATAAACAGTCACACAAATATAAAGGTACTGCAGAATAAATAAATAACTAACTTGGAACTTATTACCACAGATCGACATAGAGTGGATATTAATTACCTCCCTCAGAAATGCTTGAAGCATAGATAAATATAATTTGTTCTGAAGATTTCCGCTTATTACAGATTGGTTAGGTAATAAAGTACAACATGCAAAATATGGTCATGCAGATTAAAAATAAAAGGACATACAAGATGAGAGCAAGGTGAGGCGACAGCGGACGGTGAAATAGGTGGGGGAGAAGGCACCGACTGGCTAGCTCGAGAACGTACTGATACTACTGGTTTTGTATTAGTGAACAATGATGATAATAGCCGCTTTCTTTATCTGGTGTTTGGTGGTTCAATACTGTTCAGAAAAAAAAATATTTTGAACCTATAGTGAATAGTATTTAGTGTGATTTTAACCAAGCACTTCCTTTTTCTTCCAACCAATATTTGCAAAGTACTGGCTAAATCACAAAACAAATTCATACCAATCACGGAACACTGATCAGCATTTAAGCGTCTGAATCATCGCACATTTAAGCTTTCGCGCAACAGTCTTCGCACCATCATCATTCGCGTAATGCGCATTCACACTCACGTAGCGTGCTTATATTCTTGGTTCCGCAAATTTTTAGATTTCACCTATACTATTAATGGTCAAAGTAAGAGTAAAAAAAATATTCATAGTAGGGGATATTTCATTAGAGAAGGGGAGTGTGTACGTAAGCGAGGGAGGCGCTTTCTGAAAATATCTGATTACATCTAATTATCGAGCGATGGCGCTAAGCCTCATCGTGCTGCTCGCTGCTGATTACGCGGGTATTGTTATCCCCGTTTTGGCAGCAGCATCTTGTGTAGATTAACGAAGCGATTGTTCAGAGCTTTTTAAATGGCAAGCCTATTTCTTAGGGAGGATTATTAGTGCCCTAAAGCCTAGATGCACAAGTCTGTGCGACTTCAGCGCTGTCATTTCTCTCAACTGGATAGGAAAAAAGATAGCAGACATCAAAATTACGCGACTGAATTTTGAGAGGTCCAACGCTACGAAAATTTAAATTACACAATCATATATTTGGAAAATATTAATAAGCAAATTAACGAATATTTGATGACGAATACAACCTTTGACTAACTCATTTAATAGGTAGTGACAATCTTGTCAATAGCAATAAAATTCTCTTTGGTTGCAGTTTGATTTATTATTTTTTTCCATCCTCTAGGGATTTATGCCACGAAATATGTCCATTTGTCAAAATTTAACGGTTGAACCTGATACCATTACAAAATCTGGCGCTTCTAAATTTCAGTGTAAAAAACTATTCAAAGTGGCACCAAAGGAAGGAAGGTATAAAATATGGGAAGTAAAATGTCTCAAAGATGGCCAGAAGGCTTTTCTCAAAAATTTAGACTTCAAAGGAGGTAAGACCAACTCGATTTCCAATAACAATGGTTTTGTTTGTGTCGCAAAAACTTAATGAGTATTTTGCGCTTAAATCTAACAGACATTTATTGTTTTCAGCTATTAGTATTTGTTGTGAAAATAACAACATAATGGAGTTTCTGGTGGAAGGATCGCGTAGCATTCTTGTGGAAAAGCTTTTGCGTGAGAGAGAGATCGCATTCGAGATCATAGGCTTCGAAAATACGCCGGGACGCTCATCTAGTCCTAGAGCGCGTTCTGGCTTTACTAGCACTATAAAATCTACTTGGAGAAAGGGTGAGTAAAATTTTACTAAATTATTAACATGATTCGTCGTAATCAATATTACCGCACCTAAAATATTAACAATTGGGTTTTGTAATACTCAACGACCTGCTATATCTTTCTACTACCCTTGCTGTCTTGATAGCCACTCAAACGGCACAATTTTCGATCGCAATTATTCGGCTGTTCCTTAACCGATTTGCATGAAATTAGAAATGAGTACAAAAGTACAATTCTATAGGTCGATCTGTGACCTGAGAATTGGGGTTGACAATAACTATGTTAATTCTTATGGGAAAAATATTCAATTGCATCGTCACCAGCTTATACGCATCCACTGTTGGACATAACAACTCTTCCGGTCTTGTGCCATCTAGCCGCTACCGGCCACCTTTCTCAGGTCGTCCGACCATCTTGCCGCAGTGCGTCTACACTACGTTTTCCTTAACATGGTCACTACTCTAGGACAAGTCTGCTCCATCAACCATCAGCCCTCCTGCAGATATCTCCGGCCTACTGCCACTTAAGCTTACTGATTTTCCGAGCTATGTCGGTCACTTTAGTTCTCTGACGTATGACTTCATTAGGGAATCGGGCCATCAGAGAAACCCCAAACATAGCTCGCTCCATCACATGTTGAGTGACTTTAATATCTGGTAAGTAGAACGCAAAACTGTGTGAATTAAAAAGACTACTGTGTTTCGGTAGGGAATCGTCATTACGCCAAGTATGGTCGGTTGTAATACATGCTGATTGATACATAGTCAGTCTTGTATATATGAGTTGTTGAATAAAAAAGAGTAACCATAAAATGTAGAAATTATCCAATCTACGTTTGTTTCATATTCCTATTTTTTTAACGCACACACTTATAGCCCCGCACTAGGGGAACCCTGTATCGCGTATTCATACGTTTAATGCATATTATAGCATTTCTAATTCTGCAACAGATTTTTGTTGGTTCGATGGTAGGTAGTCTTAAGACAAATATTTACTTTCTTTGCATTTTTACATTTATTTTTCAGAGCGCCTCATTTTAGACTGGAAGGATTTCTATCCATTAAATATTATATACCAATGGATGGATGAACTGGAGAGGTTATATCCTGCAACATGTACAGTATGCTCCATTGGAAGAACGGTTGAGGGTCGACAGATAAAGGTGGGGTTGGCACTTTCGTTGTACATTCTGTATATATCCTTATATGCGTTGTATAAACCGGAAAACGGATAAGTAGTCTATATTTCTATCAAAACAGTTAATATCATCAAATAATCAGAAGGATCTTTTTCATATACAGCCTGGCTTCACCCACTGTTGGGTAAAGGCTTTCAAGTTTCTGTGGTACTTACCACGGTCCCGTGCTAATCTCATCCAGGTTCGTCAAGCAATTCCTGCGATGTGGTGTCCTCCCAGCTCGTCACTGGATACCCGACGTTCCTGCATCCAGTCCTTGGACGCCAATCATTTATCGCCTTACTCCATCTGTCATCTTGTCCCCGTCTCAGGTGCCCCTGTCTGGCTCCACTTTAGCTTTTATTGAGAACAGCTTGATATGGCATGGCACGCTCCATGGCTCTCTGTGCAACATTCTATACACAGCTTCCTGCGTGAGCGTCCATGTCTCGGTACCGTAAGCCATGGTAGGCAGAACACACTGATTGTGTAGACGGGTCTTCAGACATTGTGAAATTTTGGCTGACTTAAGAATGTCGTTCAACATGCCAATGACGGCCCACCCGAGCCGAATTCTTCTGGTAAAAAATCTTCTTCATTTGATGCACCTTGCCATAAGATAAAATATGTCCAAGATTTATTGTATTAATCATTGACTTACAATTATATGGACGTCGGGTCCGCGCTAAAAAGTGTCCGCACTTATAAGGCGCTAAAATCGTATACAGAGCGCCAAACTCCGCTTTAGTCTTCATTTGTTCTACTGACAGCGCGATACTGCGATGACATTACAATTTAAATTTCGAATAGGTTGACTTGGGACTTTTTTTCGTGGTTTTTGTATTAGACCCGTCGTCCATTTATTTGTAAGTTTATGGTATTAATCGACAATCTCCAACATCTCACTTCCAACTGTGACACTTGAATTTGTGACGTTGGAGTTGTTCGCCATAACCTTAGTCTTGAACATATTCATCTTGAGGCCCACTTGCATAGAAACATCATACAGTTGTTGCAGCATACGCTGGAGATCGTTAAAGTTTTCAGCGAGTACTAAGTCGCTTGCAAACCGTAATGGGACAAAAAGCCTCCATTGACATCAACCCACATGATTTGACGAAACACTTGTTTTACTATGTCCTCTAGGATAGCAGAAAAAGTTTTGACAAAATGATGTCTCCCTGCCGCATCTTAATTGGTACAGGTTTGGTTACTTCATGCATTCGAACCTGTAGAGTTACAGATGAGTACAGCTTTCGAAGTCCATCTATCTACGAGAGTCGATGTTGCAGCGATGGAGAGTGTGGAACACGGCCCAATGTTAGACACTGTCGAAGGCCTTTTCATAATCAAGGAAGGTCATGGATAGGGGTCGGTTGTACTCGTGACACTTCTCCATCAACTGCTTCACCGTACGGATGTCGTCTATATTGGAGAAGCTACTTCGAAAGCCGGTTTGTTTGATAGCCTGGCATTCATCAAGCTGACGAGTGATGCGATTTGTTATAACTTTTAAGTTTGTAAATTTTGGACTAACAGGGCGGTGGTTACTCAATTTGGCAATATTTTTTGTGTAAAATTGTGACTAGCGCGTTTTTCCATTGCCTTGGTGTTCGATCTTCATGTAAAACTTTGTTAAAAAGATAAATAAGGACCGAGACTACTGGCTCCCTTCCGCACAGAGAAGTTCAACTGTGATCCCGTCGTCGCCAGGAGACTTTTCTACCTTCATGTGATAAATAGTTTTAGCAACCTCGCACGGTAGTATTTGGTAGTATTTGAGGTAAAATCTCCGTGTTGTATCTTTTGGTTGGAGGGGTCTGACTTCATGTCACTCTTCTCTTCACTTCATTCTAGGTATATGTACCCGGTACATATACCAAGTGATATATAAATCTTCTTATCTCTAACATTTTTACATACCATATCTCTCCTGTTGTTTATTATTTTTATAGTTCCTGGTGACACATTTTCATTCTTCTTTCGGACCCCGCCGAGAAGCTTATTAGTGTTTTCGGTTAAAGATTTGCATAGCAGATTGTGATTATCGTATACGTCCAAGTTTGATTCGTGTAGACCTTCAAATTGATTTTTCAGGTCTACTTGTAAGGCCTTGGGGAGAAGAGAGGTTGTTTGTTTTCATATCTTCCCTGTGATGTCGCCATTTTTGCTCTTTCATTCATAAAATCAAACATGAGTCTCGCTCTTACCAATCTGTGATCACTTACGGTTTTAAATCGTGATAGGAACGAGACATTGACATGGCTACTACATATTAATGGGAACTTTTTTATGTTACCATCAGGGCAAACCCAAGTTCACTTTCGCGATGTCCACTTTTGGAAAAACGTATTTATTTCGCAAAGTTCTTTTTCTCAAGAACGTTGATCAAGGCCTGACCCCTTCTATTTCGAACCCCGAAACTGAAACCATCGACGGATTATCATTTAGTAATTAATGGTTTTCCAATTTTGGCGTTAAAATCTCCTACGATGTATTGTAGTGGATTGTTGTGTTATCTAGAGGTCTCGTAATGTATCATAGAACTCTTCCACATCTTCGTCGGGATGGTCTGACGTTGGGGCGTAAACTTTGTTATCTTGAGCGAATATCGTTTGTTCAGCCTGAGTATAACAAAACAAACGCGAGTGGAAATACTTTTGATATTAATAATTGACGGAGCAATATTTTTCGCTACAAGAAATCCAACCCCTCCATACGTACTTATCATGACCGTGATAGAAGAATAAATCACCTGAAGTAAGTTCAATCAGGTCTTCACCCTTTCTTCTAACCTTCGAAAGCCTTATTACATCCCATCTGATGGTCTCAAGTTCAGTTCCAGCAATCGTCCGTCCGTACGCAACGTTATGGCAGTTGGACGATTTCCAGCGATTTTTAGCGCCCTCTAATCCGCCGGAACCATGGTCGCTGCCAGAACCAGGAATAGCGGAGCTGCTGGAGTACTAAGGGCCGTAGTATATTGACACAAATCATATTTGGGGCTTAGTCGTAAAACGACGCTCTGGCCAGTGTATTGTGGCGAGTTTTGTGTCAGAGCCTCGTTCGTAGGTCGGCAGAGAATAAATACCACGTGCAGGTGAGGTTGACTTGGGACCCGAAAGATGTTGTTTGGGTCCCCTCATCTCCACGTATGTAAATAGGATGTTTTTAGTGTGATTATATTTTTATACCTGGGAAATCACATAAAATTCTTCCATATGCTTTATCGCAGATGTTAAAAATATCAAATAGCGACGCCGCCAACACCGGTGTTTGGCTAGACGGATGCATACATGCGCGTGAGTGGATCAGCGGCTCAGTCGTAACGTATATCGCGGACCATTTAGTGCGAAACTTCAGCACACTTCCACAGAACATTACCAATAAAGACTGGTAAGAATAAATTTCGAATGCAAACGTTTTATAGTAAAGCTGATAAAATTAATTTACTACTTACGTTCCTAAAATTTATTATCTAGTTATATTACGTATTCTGTTTTAGGTATTTAGTCCCAATCGCAAACCCTGATGGTTACCAACATACACACACTTTAGATCGTTTATGGCGCAAAAGCAGAGCACGTTTTGGTAATTCAATAGTTGGCGTGGACTTGAATAGAAATTTTGGGTAAGATTTCATTGACTTACAATTATATGGACGTCGGGTCCGCGCTAAAAAGTGTCCGCACTTGTAAGGCGCTAAAATCGTATACAGAGCGCGACTCTCCGCTTTAGTCTTCATTTGTTCTACGGACAGCGCGATACTGCGATGACATAACAATTTAAATTTCGAATAGGTTGACTTGGGACATTTTTTTCGTGGTTTTTGTATTAGACCCGTCGTCCATTTATTTGTAAGTCAATGTAAGATTTATATAATATTGTAAAATTTTTTTTGAATTTTGTGAACTTTATTTGATGATTGATGTTAATGTTCGGACGAGGGTTGCAATTAAACCACTTATTGTCAGGCAAATAGGTATATTTTTCCGAAGTCACATGGTATACTCAGACATTTTAAAGCAAAAATGCGACGTTCGATTGCCTTATTATAAATAAAATCTTTTAAATGTTATGGCCCTTTCGACTTAAAAAATTGACCGGTGGATTTCGATATAAATAAACAGTAAAATACATTGACTTACAATTATATGGACGTCGGGTCCGCGCTAAAAAGTGTCCGAACTTATAGGGCGTTAAAATCGTATACAGAGCGTCATTCACGCTTTAGTCTTCGTTTGTTTCTTCTGACAGCGAAGCAAGCAAAATTAGACAGTACTGCGATGACATTACAATTTAAATTCAACGTTTTAGCTTTTTCATATTCCTTTACATGTCACTACGTTTAAATAGGTTTGGGACATTTTTTTTTTAGTGGTTTTTGTATTAGACCCGTCGTCCATTTATTTGTAAGTCAATGGTAAAATAGGATCATTTGGTTGCTTGACTAATGTCAATACTATATGACACGACGTACTGTTAGTAGTACACCCATGATTCGACAGATGGCGCTACTAACTATTGATGTTCACGGTTCGTCTTCGATCGGACATCATTGACAGCCATCGCAGTGGGAACGTCTTAGAGGATGGAAAAAAAATAAAAGAAAGAAGCTGCCCTAACTACGGAATAAACGTGCATACCTAAACAAAAATTGAACGAACAAATGGCGGATTTCTTTAGTGTCGTACCATAATCTATCGATAAGTCATTATCGACATGCAAACATTTCATTAAAGTAGATCAATATTCCATTTGGAAATATTTTAGGTTATATGGGAATATCCGGGAATGTCACATGAAATTTTGAATTTATTGTTTTGCGTTTACAAATACCCAAATATTACGAAAAGTGAATTTGCACAGAAAAAATGTAATTTTAGAGTATATAAAAAAAGAAAAAACTTTGAAATATAAATCTGGAGATCTCCTATACATTTCCAACCTGAAGATTCATATTTTCATAGATAAATTTTTAAACAGTTATCAAATAGTGTAAGCTTTTTTGTATTTATGTAATGGTATAGAATTAATATCAGTGACTGATTTAAGTAAATCTTTAATACTTCCATTTAATTTTGGAAATAAATGAAAGTAGTAATATTATCAATAATAATATTATTATCATACGTTTATTTGCTTAAAATATGGTATAACAGGAGATGTAACAAGAGACAGTATTAGTATAAACATGTTTCGCATGTACTAAATAGCATGCGAATGTCTGATTATACAATGTCAATTATCTACTGTTGGCCGAGCGCCTTTGATTTGTGCAGAAAAATCGACACTTATCCGAAGTGAGACAAGTGGTCACGAGCAACTGCGAGTTGTGACAAGCCACGTCAAACGAGATCTATATACGTTAGCGCTCGCCTTCACTCGGTCAGCTAGACGAGAGACACTGAACGATGGCAAGGCAAGGCAAATAGCCTGTCTATACGCTGGTATTGGCCATCACCCGGCAATTTTGGTCCAACGTGATCATTGTGTTGCTGGCTTTATAAAATAATAATTTTTAGTAGTTAGAGTTGTCAGTGGGAAAAAATCGGAAAGGAGTGGATAATATTGTTTTCAGGAACTGAGAATGCCTAGTAAATGAGTCTTGTTTAATCTAAATTAAATATAAAATTATTTACCAATAAACCTAATGATGGAATTGCATTATCATGCAATTATATCATGTATAATTATAATATTATACGTGATAACTTTAAATATTCAAAGTTATGTTAAAATTTGACTCTTCAAAATGAAGCGAAGAAATGAAGGTGGTCTTTGATTCAATGTTTATATTCGGCACTCCTATTATTTCCAATCATTCTTTTTCTTTTTTGATTTGTAGGTAAAGTTGAAATAGTAAAAATAATAATAATAAAACATTAAATACCTCGTAGTGAATTATTTTAATAACAGAATATCGATCTAAGATCAACACTATCTCAAAATAATGGTTAACAACAATCATCAAAATATACAAAGAAACAGGTAATCTGAAGAAACCAAAGCAAAATTTGGCAAGATTTATGAATAAACTACTTAAATATGTCTATTTACATGAGATATTTAGGCTTTTGTGTGATTTATAGACAAAAAAATAATACGTGCCTGTACAATGTTATATTTGGTGGATTTTCGCTTTTTCTAATGCCACATCCCGTAACGCTGCAGCGACGAATTTTTATTAATACTTAATTGTTCTCACTGTCAATATTTTTGACCATTTTATTACAATACATGCGAATAATTCAATAAAACACCTGGAAAAACATTTGTTTTGACATGTGATGTACTTCCCCTTTAACAACCGTATCATGTACCTCATGCACTGCGAAATGAAAATGATGTTACGTATCTTCGATTCCCATGTTTGACACAGACCAATGTAATGCCATCTCTTTTGGCTTAAGACGGCACGCAATAGTTAAACAAAGACAACATTTATATGTTTTCAACGTCGAAATGCATCATATACATATAACGTCTGATTTGTATATGTCAACATAACATGTCCTTTCCGAACGTTCGACCGGTCTCTCGTTCCACTACTGTTCACCGGGCTGGTTATGTCCATTGAAATTTTAATAGTTTGCCAATTTTGTATCGTTAAGTTTTTTTACATTATAAGTATTTGCATGTTCTGGACTTGGAGTGTCATTCCTCACCACTTCACAAAACCAAAGCAATTACCAATTAAGTACGCACATTGATAATATAAAAATGTTTCAGGTTCGGCTGGGGCCACAATGGAAGTGAGGGTTCTTCAGTAGGGGATCCCAACCATCAGAATTACCGGGGTACTGAACCATTTTCAGAACCCGAATCGTCGGCTATAAAGGTATAATTGATTCCTTTTTGTTTTGTCATTAATCTACAAAGAGACATACATTTCCCAATTGGTTATTTTTCAGGACTTAATCTTATATTCAGGAACTCCCTTTAAGATATTTGTTACGTTTCATTCGTGTAGCGAGTTGATCTCGTTTCCTTGGTGTTATACTTCAGACCCTTGCCCTGATTACGTAAATTTATTGGAAGGGGGCGCAACGATAGCTAAAGTGAGTAATTAGAGAAACTAATATAATTTATATTTCATTTAAGTTGCAGTAGAGTTCCTTCTGAAAGAGGTCGTCCAGAGAAGTACTGCCACCTTATCTTTTTCTGCCGCCAAGCGGTAATGTGAGCATTACTGCATTCCAGTTTGGAAGGGTGAGGGTGCTGGTCAAATTACAGAGACATGGGACTTGTTAACTTACGTCTCAGGGTGACGGGCAGTGTATATAAGATCTTTGCGTTTTAAAACTCTGAATGGTACTGCAACTGTTATGTATAGGCGGGTCGCTCGCCACCAGGCGTATTATAAAATATATAGGCCAGGTATTATAAAATATATATACATATATAGTGTCATCATCAGAAATCTATACTAACACCTACTGTTGGGGAATATAAAACTTCTACACGACTTAAAGGTTTTCCTTCATTGTTACCTAGAGTTATTTATTACCTTATTGTTACGAAACATTTACAAATGTACATATATGTATTAGGCACATGTTGCGATAAGAATTTAATCTCGATGGACGGCTCTTAATTGGCAAGCAACCGTTTTCCTACTGGACTACCAATACCATTTTATTGGTTATCTGCATCACTCTATTGCTCACCTGTTATAGCGGTATGTTCCGTTAAAATGCTGTCAGAAAGCTGGAATAACTCTTTGATTCTTTCCAGGCAATGTTTGAAACCACTGGTCGCATGTACAAAGTCGGTAACTTTAAGGATATTATGTATTATGCGCCAGGAACCAGTATCGATTGGAGCTACGGAATAGCTCGCATACCATTCTCATATCTCATAGAATTGAGGAGTCGAGAACACCGCTTTGTTCTTCCCAAAGATGAGATAATAGAATGTTGCCGTGAAGCCTTAGCTGGTATCTTTTCACTCTGTGAGTTTGCTGACACAAGAAAATGTTTGAACTGTACAGTTTTAACCAATAAAAATCGATGACATGTTCATTTCAGTGTTTACTTCTACAAGATTGTAAAACAAACGATACATAGAAAAATACTTGTAAATTAAATTAAGAAACGTAACGATAATCGCTGTATTCTTGCTAGATTCCGTTAAATCCATCGAAAGTCACTCGCCGGTTTGATCAACGTAGTCCATGAGGCTCCTGACCGCACTCCAAACTTCGGTGCATGTCCCCATGATCTGGTCCCGTGGAAGGCGGAACTTGTACTTCTTGCTACGAAGTTCAACCATGTAGGAATATGGAATTTTAGCGATCCCGTAACTCCAGTCGATGCTAGTGCCGCATGCATAGTACGTCATGTCTTTTGTATTTCCCACCTTGTAAATGTATCCTGTGCTATCGTAAATCGCCTGGTAAAAGAGAAATCTAAATTTGAAAAACTTATTGACATTCGTATTACAACATGTACCAATCTAAATAAGCGATCTAAATGGATTGTAATTTTTTTTACAACATTCTATACAAGAACGGCAAAATTACAATTGATATAGATCTGTATAGGAGAATTGTCAATAGTTGCCATGGAAAGTTTGCATCGAGGCTACAGACGGGAAAATTGTAAGCAACCTTTTCCCATGAAATGTTTGGCAGAGTCCCGATCGTACTACACTTGGGGACTAATAAGACAATGCATGAATGGGGATAATTTTCTGGTGACGTAGAGGATGTGACGTTATTTCGAAAATCAAAATCGAGAAAAGGTTGCAGCACACGAGAATTTGGGTATGCGCAGCCAAGGAATGTACACCACCTCTTTATTTCTTTCTTAGACAATTGTGTAGCTCACAAAATTAAACAGACTAATTTTAAACAAATCACTATTTATTTTAACAACATATTACAACATTGTTTGCGGCTGGTTGAGGGTTTGTTTTCATTTCGAAAGAACTGGAGGTATTGTACTTAGTTATCATTAATCAGATGTAATAACCAATAACGAATTGTCAAGAGCTGGCTCAATATTTAAGTAAGTTGTACTTTTGGAGGCTTGAATTAATCTCAACGCTCATGTTATTTACCATCATCATCATAGTTGATCTAAACTATAGCTGATGATGCAGTTATATAATAATCGAAAATGCAGTCTCTAATTCTAACAGATTCTTACGTGCATATTATTACCCTCGACATGATAGTTGCTCCTTCCAACAGCTTTAAGTAATGCGGACAAGGCTCCGGATTGTGACCCCAAGGAAAGATGATCAGTTCAAAATAGCTATGGAACGAGAGGAACACTTTGAACGGAGTTGTCGAATTCAGTATTGTATCCTGCAATATTAATAGCAGTGTTGGAAAAATATATTTTTTTATTGTTAGCACCCCATACATTGCAAGATTACAGGACAAAAGTGAGACACATTAGCAAACTATGTTTATGATTCATATTTATTACAGAAAATCGTCTTACCCGAACTGCTACAGTTTCAGGTTCTGAGAAAGGCTCCGGCCCTCTATAGAATACATTAGTCGGTTCTTCTGAAGATCCTTCGCTTTGCCCCCACGCATAGCTGTCAACACAACAGCATTGTTATAGACTGAACTTTGATAGAACTGACATTGAAATCCCGGATTGTAAAGTATAGGATGTCACCTGAAGTTTCTGTTGAGATCTACGCCAACGCAAACACCTTCGTGTTTCGCTTTGTTTTTCCTCCACATTCTGTCGCAAGTGTGTGTATATTCGTATCCATCTGGATTTAATATTGGAACTATGTGCCTGTTAAGCAAAGGTCTGGCGATTAGCTTAGAAGAGAGATTATTCCTTAGCCTTAGAAAAGTAATTTTGTGAGATACAATACCAGTCTTTATTAGTAATGGAAGTGGATAGTTTCCTGAAGTTTTTGACGAGGACGTCGGCGATGTACGTGACCACGGCCGTGCTGATCCATTCACGCGGGTGTATTGACGCATCCAGCCAAACTGAACAGTTTGTTGCATTACTGTTTGATACTTTTAACATCTGTGGGATAGTTTTGGACGTTGCCTTATTTATCATATTATGAAAAAATTCAATAAAAGCTTTACAGTGTTTTGGGTTAGGAATAATAATGTGATAGAGTACCACAAGAAAACTGGTTTTAAACTAGGAAATTCTAGAGTGACAGAGCAACGAAATCACCCTTGGAGATACCCAAAACCCTCACATCACAACCAATTTAGAATTCATTCCCCATTTGATCCTATCCGTAATCCATTGGATTGCGGTCGTCAAAATATGCGTATTCGTTGTCGATCTGCAAGGTTATCATCATTTCTATGGAGAGATGGGTGAGGCTCACTTTAAGTATCTGACAATTTTAATTTAATCAAGCACGTGAAACATTCGTTTAATCCTAAGGACACAGAGCTAAAAATAGACTTTCTTTTACCAACCTTTATATCCCGACCTTCGACAGATTTTCCTATAACTGAGACTGTACAGATGGCTGGATAATCTCTTTCCAGTTCATCGATAAAATCGTAAATATCTCGCAGTCTATGAAATCTTTTCCAATCCATCAGCTTTACTGAAATATCATACGATATTACATTATCTACGTACATGTAACATCAATAATTATTATGAACGATCACCAAATAATTTCTTCAGAGTTTTATAATGAAATTTTGTACGATTATTTAATGTTTGCATATTATATACGCTTATTATTAATAATACATAAATATATTAAGGTTCCAAGAAACAATCTTTTTTTTACACAACTTCATAGCTTCTTGCGTTATTATTCTAAGGCTTCTTGTATATCATGATGATATCAACATCATCAACTCATATCCAACTCATATCCAACTCATATCCAACTCATGTACTCATGAACTCATGTACTCATATTTAGAGGAACGAATGATGAATTATGAAAACAACATTAATTTCTTTTTTCAAAGGTTCTGGTGTTCGAGGCCAGTGATAAAGTAATTATATTTTCAAATTAAATGTTCTGTTATATGGCCAGTGATTAATATGATAATTGTTGTCTTAATTCAACCTCTTAAAAAGTTCCTCTAAATTTGTCTATGAGTGGACGTTTCTTAGCTGGGCTCGCTGGTACAAAACAGGTTGGGGACATTACACTTTTACCAAGATTATGAACCTCCTTTTAGACGTATGTTTCAACGCGGCATTTTCCTTGACCATTAGCGAAAGGTATTGCTATGAAATATTCATAAATATAGGCAACTTAGAAATTAAACTCATCGCAGAGAACAAAAAGTAACGAGAAGGCACTTTCTCCGCCCCTCCTTAGCTTTAGATACCGCACCATGCACCGCACATTGACGATCATATTGACTGAATGGCAACAAGGCTGTCAGCGAGCCGTTTTCGCGCTAAGACGGCTTTGATATTTGAATATAATTTTCATTTATTCTTTACCAAACTTGTACGTTAATATGTAACTTCATTGTATATTACTATTTATGACGGCCGAGAATTGTGCTGTATAACGGCTATTTATCATCATCCAAACGAGACAAGGAAAGGAGTTTTTTTTCGTTGTCCAAAAGATGAAACGACGTAAGTAAAAAAAACTTAGGTCTGAAACTCATTCTGTTATAGTTTTCGTCATTTATTTAGTGTAGAGTAATATATAATACAGATTTATTATATCAATATAATGAGGTGTAATATAGTAGGCAAGGGATCTCGAATTTTTAATTTTTATTGCCGGTAAATATGTAGTGAATATAATTATTAACTAAGTAACGATAAAATTGGACACACAATTTCAAATACCTTGGTAACCTTATTTACATTTATTTGGGCAACTGAGGTCATTGTATTAATAGACTACAGTATATGATCTTGAAAAGGTTAAGGCAGATCTTGGAAAAAGGTTATCCTGGGTAGTCTGCCACCTTATCTATTTCTGCCGCCAAGCAGTAATGTCAGCATTACTGTGTTCCGGTTTCGAAGGATAAAAGTGCTGGTGAAATTACAGGATTTGTTAACTTATATCTCAGGGTGACGGGCGCAGTGGCAGTGCATTCAGATCATTGCAATTTAAAGCTCTGAGTGGCACTGTAACTATTATGGACAGGCGTGTAGCTTCTCATCAGGCGCATGACTTGTTCGTCCCGTCACTTGATGTTATAAAAACTCTATCAATTAGTTATATTTTTTATATTATCATATAATGTTAATTGGATTCAGAATATAGGCAGCTACCAAACATATGCAACGTATACGTGTATATATATATATATATATATAAGGTTATAATAGACGAGTTCACTATATTTCAGCTAATGATCTTGACAAAAAATATAACAACTAAATTTCCCGGAGAAGTATTATACGTGTACATGATTATATGGCTGATTAAGTAGTTCTTTTTCGAAAATTTTAAATTACAATTTCTACTAAAGTTTGAATAAGAACAACAATATTCTTACAAACATTATTGTGGGTGCGCCTCACTTGTGCAAAAATCAAATAAACTAAGTTCAAAACATATAACGTTCATTTAATGTAATTTTTATTTGCACAATTTTCACTTTTTATAACATCATTTCATATAACATTCACATCTTATAACAACATTTTGTATAAAGTTCTTATCACATAACATTCATTTTATATATTGTGATTTCATATAACTTTCATATAGCATAATATCATTTATTTATAGATAATAATATTAAAACCGACCCGCCGTGATACTTGTCTGTTCGAAACTTGAGTATAATTTCATGTTTTCAATAGTATAGGTTACATTGCTGAATCTTTGTTTTGACAAAATTAGCATTGTTACGCATAGGATTCCTTCGTGGTCTAAAAAAAAACAAGTGTATTTTACATACATGAAATCTTGATTGCGTCCCCTATTTAATAGGTTAGGTTAGGATGGTATATGAAAAAGCGAGCGTAGCGAGCGCGCCGCTGCTGCAGCGGCCGGCGGGTGCCAGAAGCAAATTTGTTTGCGTTTCTCAATGACTTATTGACGTTATGATTATTTGTGACAGATAACATAAGCATTTTTCTTCACTTACCCCATAGTTACACTAACTACAAAAATATTTATACGCAAAAACAGGATATTTGTTTACAAACAGGCGTTAGGTGATGTGATATTTATATAAATTGCTGTTATATTAAATGAGGTTTATAACATTATGATTGTTATTACAAATATCTAAAGTGAAATTATAGGATGTTAGTTTATATTAAATGTTTATTATATGAAGTGAATTGTTATATTAAATGAGTTTATATGAAATTAAATTATGACAATTTTTATAAGATATATTACACACTCCATTATTGTATGTATTTTTTATACAAGTAATGTTTTTTTTTGGCTGGGTCATATCAACTTACTTTTACGTTTGTGAGTAGGCTTGCGAGTACTTGTTAGTGTTTTGGCGCGCCATTTTGTGTCTAGTTGTCCTGTAATGAAGACGTTTTCATGTTGTTAGATTTTTAGTATTAATACAATTTCACTAAACTGCCTGCGTAAATAATACATTTTAAGCCGTGATTTTTAGGGTCAGCCAGGCGACGGTGCATTAAAATGAGCAAAATATAAGGCATTCATTATACATTTTAGAGTTACATATTATATTTCTTTGATGAAAACATTAAAAAGAATGCACCACGCACATATAATGTAAATAATATCTACTAAATAAACTATAAATCCTTTTGGATGCACAATGGCTATCATTTTTATTATCAGAAGAGCTCCTTCACTTCGTTAAGCAGTAATGTCTCGGCATTACTGCGTTCCGCCTTTGAAGGATAAGGTGCTGGTCAAATTAAAGAGAGATGGGACTTGTCCACTTCAGGCCCCTGGGCGACGGACGCAGTGGCAGTTTCACTCAGATGTTTGATTATAAGCTATTATGGATAGGCGTATCACTTTCCACTAGGCGCATGACTTGTTCGTCCCGTCGCCGTTGCGACATCAAAAATCATTGCATTTTAATAATATATTCTTAGGAATATTACCTACTATAAAAATAAGACGTAGTATAAAATACAACCATTATTTTTACTATAATTATACAATATTAAAAAGTTGAACGAAGTCGCGGGTAGCAGCTAGTAATAAACAAAATTTTAAAATTTTATCATAACACGAAATAAATATAATAACATACTTCAATAGCGCCGATATATCTAAAAAAAAACATCAATGTCGCTTCCAGATGCACTCAGTCATATATCTGTTAAGTTTGGAAACAATACTAGCTGCCTCCGTGGCCGAACGGTTACCACGCCGGACTGCCACGCAGAGGTCCCAGGTTCGATTCCCGGGTCGGGAGAAATATTTGTATGGCCTACATTTATTTCTCTCGTGAGTTTGGGTGTAATTTGTGGTTGTCTATGTGTGTGTCCATGGCACCCGCGACACAGGGTTTTCCCTAGTACGGGGCTATGTTGAGTGTGTGCGTTATTATTATTATTAATACATTTCTACCCTACCTAGAATTTTAAAAATTAGAATTGATCATCACACTACCTTCTTAAATGATAGTATACAAAATTGTAGTCTTAGTGAATTTAATTAAATTTTTGTTTTCGTTACTAATTTGTGTCTTTGTAATTTATAAGTGAGTTACATTACAAAATAAGCTAAGTGTTTGTGATGGGTACGATATAAAGCCCGAATTTTTGGCTAATATGAATGTGAAATTTCTCATGTAAGTGAATTTTGTAATAATTCTAATGAGAAATAAATATTTCTTAAATCGTAATATAACCTTTTGAAGCCAATCCAGTCTGCGTGCCGTTTTCAGTGACTATGTTCTTGGCTGAGCCCTCTTCTGCAACCTCTTCTAGATGCATGGAAATATATTTTTTAAAGAGGCTAAAATTGTTTGGCTCGCCATGATCAAATTTTGACTTTACCACTTCTTTCACCATTGTTGCAGACATCTGAAACGTTTCATGCCATACTTTAACGTTAACCTTGTTTATATACAAAGGCAATTTAACAGTTTTTGGCCCAGTTTAAGTCACATTGAAGAGTCGATTTTATACGAAAATAATCATAATTGTTAAAATCGAGGCTTTATTTATTATATTGATAAATAAAAGTTTTAAATTTTGTGGACATTGCTTGGTCATCCTATTTAAGACCCCCTTTACACAGTGACTTTATCGCGTGTGATCAGGGGGCCTACCTGGCTTAAAAAAGGGCTCATTATAATATTACTTATATTATTGTACCATGACGAACCTATCAACCAAGTAATGTATTATTGCAAAAGTGATTGAAAGAACGAATGGTTTCCCAATATTGTCTATTACTTACTAAAAATAGGAAAGAGATAACGCTGTGTGAGCTACATAATGCCATCTCTTTCTTTTTTGATGTTCCGAATCGTCTTATCGTAGTATAAGTTTATGTACTTAATGTTATTTACATTCAGACAGTTTTGACAGTTAAAAAAAAAGAAAAGTACGTAATAATAAAATCTATTAAAATTATGTTGTTTTCAATAATTATTCCGCATTTTCATGAAGAAAAATATATAAAACAAGCTGAGAATTGATAGTCACGTTGTGAACTATAGTCAAGCGTCGACAGTTAGTTTCGCCAAGGAGCATATAGATGGAGCTGTCATAATTTTACGAAATAAAACATCGCGTATTTTTATTTAACGAGAAATTATTTCCTACGTGCTATTAAATAAAAAGTAAACAAAATATTGTAGAGATATATGTAAATAAATAAGTTCAATTTAACTTTTAATCATTACAAATCAATATTAAGATAATAAAACTGAAAATAATATTGTTTCCATTGCATCTGTGTAACTATTTCAAGATTTCTAAATTTGATCTATGAGCAATATTACTATGCTAAAGTCGCGTCATAGTACGAACTGAGTGAATGAATAGTCACAAAGCTACCAATAAAACATCATAGTTTTAACATTACAATAAGCTTACTTTAAGCGCGTTATGGTACGAAAAGTAAATGTAAGGTTAAAGTAATATTGTTTTAAGAGATTGTGGTAGGCCCCCTGGAGCGAACAGTTCATTTTTGTTACAACGGAAAGAGCGTCCGTGTAAAGGCTAATAAATAGCACAGGATAGACCGCGTGAAACTGGCGCGTGATGGAGCACGCGATTGCGCGCGCGACTGATGAGTGCAATCGTGCGGTCTTTTCCTTCCAACGTCTTTACACAAGTGCTTAATCGCGTACGATTGCTGTATCACACGCGAAAGTGTCTGTGTAAAGCCCGCTATTATCGGTGTAGCCTCCTCCCATTTCTTACGATTCATAGCTAGCTCCCTGATCTGTTTTTAGCTGCTTATTTTGACCTTCTCCTTTATTTGCTTACTAAAAGCTGTTCTCGGTCTTCCTGTCCTTCTCTTCCCCTCAATTAAAGCCTTTATGGATTCGTCATTACGTTACAAATGTCGAAACATTACCAGCCTTCTATTAAATAATTATCACTAACTACAGGTTTCTTACCACGATATTATTTCTTTTTTTTCCCCGATATTTCGGAATGGTTACGCGCTCCATGGTCGGTCGACGGTTGTGTGTGTTATAATCATTTTGTGAATAACCACGTCCGCACCATCGCATAACAACCAGCAATCCATTGCTTTTAAAAGATTTCTTCTTCCGTATTTATAGTAATAAAATATAGGAATACTTACAAGACGAAACTGAACAGAAGGAATTCTTTTCACTTTTAGAAATAAAAATAACAAAAACCGTTAAAAAGAAAGTTGTACAAAACACAGTAGATAATTAGCCTCTTTTATCAATACATCATGGACACAATACGAAATAAGACGGACAGTACAAAGATTTAGACATTTTAAAAAATAACTACCAATAAATTTTAATAAAATAATCAACAAATACTTTCTGACATAGCCTGTCTTTAGTGTGACAAGTTTTTGAGTGACAGTTGCACAGATAATCTAGTAAGGAAAGTGCTTAATACTTTATGCGATTTATTGTTTCTTAAATGCCAACTGTTCTCATTCTGCCATTTTTGTAGTAATGTTTGGCCAAATGTTTAGTGAATTATTCGCATGAATTGTAATGAAATAGGCAAAAATAAAGACAGTGAGAACAATTAAGTATTGATAAAAATGCGTCACTGCAGCATTAAGGGGTGCGGCAGTAGAAAAAGCGGAAACCTACCGAATGTTACATTACACCGGCTTGTGATGTGTTATTTTTCTTTCTATATAATATAAATCATACAATAGCCCAAATATCTCATGTAATTAGACTCATTTAAGTAGTTTATTGATAAGTCTTGCCGAATTTTGCTTTGGTTACTACAGATTGGCTGTTTCTTAATATATTTTGAAGATTGTTGATAACGATTATTTTGAGATAGCGTTGTTCTTGTAAGCATACATATTATCGATATTCTGTTATTAAAGCAATTGACGACGGGGTTTTTATTATTGCATTATTATTATTATTTTTGAAGGTTACCTACAAATAAAAAAGAAAGTAAGAATGGTTGGAAATCATAGGACTGTCGAATATAAACTTAGGATCAAATATCATTTTCGTTTGTTCGCCTCATTTTGAAGAGGCAAATTTTAATAGAACTTTGAATGTAACTGTAATTGCATGCAAGTAATATATTACATGATAATGTAATTCCATCGTTACATTTATAGGTAAATAACTTCATATTTGATTTTGATTAAAAAGACTCGTTACTAGGCATTCTCAGTACCTTAAAACAAAACTGACAGCGATCGACATGTGAACAGCTCGAGATTAAATTATTAGACTCATGTTTGTTTAAAACGAATTTAAGTAAGTGCTTAAATGAAAATATTTTTTATGACTTAAGTAAATGAATTATTTGACAGGAAATAAGATGTAAAATTTTTCTTTTCAAATTCTTGGCAAATTTAATTTGTAACATTGTGATATGACATGAATGACATTTCTTGTGACATTTTTATTATTGTCGTAGTTTATTAAATGGTTGTTTATTATGCGAAACATGTTAGTACTGGCACTGTCTCTTTTACATCTTCTGTTATACAATGTTTTAAGCAAATAACGTATTATTAATATATGTGAAATATAACGTATTATGATTATCGATAATATTACTACTATTATGTAAGTAATTTTATTTATTTCAAAAATTAAAAGGAAGTGTTAAAGATTCACTTAAATCAAAATCACTGATATTAATTCTATGTATAATGTATAAATGTATAAATACAAAACAGCTTACATTATTTGGAAACCTTTTAAAAATTTCTTTCTATCTATCAATCTTGAGATTGGAAATGCGTAGGGATCTCCAGATTTAGATTACAATTTTTTCTTTTTTTTAATATACTCTCAAATTCCATTTTTTTCTGTGCAAATTCACTTCATTTTCGTAATATGTGAACATTTATAAATACAAAATAATAACTTTAAAATATCATATGACATTTCCAGATATTCCCATAAGACATAAAACATTCCCAAATGGAATATTGATATACTTTATGATATATTGTAATTAAATTGTATTAATCTTGATTTGATTACAATAAACTATATAGTAATTTGTACAGTTTACTGTAATCAAAGCAAGAAAGTTTTTTTTTTATAGATTATAAGTGCGCATTTGATTTCCATCTCACCTGATAGAAACTGACGATGAGGTCGACGATGGAGCATACACACCTAAATAATGCCTATTCACTCTCGCCATGAAAAGACCCAGGTCATAACGCTCAGGGAACAAGTCTGCAGGCAGGGAATTCCACTACATAGCTGTTCACCATATAAATGTGGAACCATAACGCTTCGTGCGAATCTTTGGAATATCCACAATATAATGATGATGGAAAGGGGAAGGCGGAATTAAATTGTGTAATTCAATCGCACACTCTCCGTGATATATCCTATAAAATACCTATAAGCAGGCAACTTTACGGCGGTGTTCAAGGCTCTGCAGCTTCGCCTCCACTAATTCCGAGTCACCTATAAGCCTCTTGGCACGGTTGTCAATTGAATCCAAAGTGGCCAGTTGGAATGTAGCAGAGTCATCCCGAAGGTGGCAACAGTACTCCATGCACGACCGGACTTGTGCTGAAGCAACTGTCCCGGTGTAAAGTAACGCCTCACCCCGGAAAGGATCCCAAACTTCCTTGCTGCGTGTTTGGCCACGGATTGTATTTGCCGAAGTTCAAATTGGACGACAGGTCCGTTCCAAGTGGCTGGAGACAGTCGGCTATCGGTATGAATATATCACGAAAAGTCGGAGTCCGCTCAAAGGGACTCCGGTTTGTGGACAATACACACGCCTGCGTTTTGGTAGCGCTAAATTTGACAAGATTGGCATCGCCCCGATCGGAGACTGCCTTGAGCGTCAAATCCAAACGGCTAACCATAGACTCTCGACAAGACTGTATTTCCTCTCCACTGACCCTCGCATTGGTCAAGTACCTATCTACAACTGTGCTGTCATCATCATACGCAAAGGTACCTGGAATTAATATATCATTGATATACAGCAGAAAGAGAGTTAGTGCGTATTTGACCTTCATCTCACCTGATGGAAAATGACAATGAGGTCCACGTTGAAGTATGTACATCTATAATACTTATTCACTCTCCATGCCCAAGTTTATATCCTTTGGGGAACAAGTTTGCAGGCGGGTAATTCCAATCCGTTGCCGTTCGCCATCTAAATGTGGATGCGTGACACTTCTTGCGAATCCTTGGAATATCCACAATACATAGGGGTGAAACCGACGTGTTTTCGACGACGAACAAGAACGAACAAGTCGTGCGTCTAGTGGTAAGCGACATGCCTGTCCGAAACAGTTGCTGTGCCACTCAGAGCATTAAATAACAAAGATCAGAGTCACCATGAGACATAAGTTGACAAAACCCATGTGCCTTTAATTTCACTACGTCTAGTCCCCCGGCGATGGAACGAGGAAGGCGGAAATAAAGAGTGCAAAGTGATATATCCTGTAAAAAACTTTACGGTGGTGTTCAAGACTGCAGCTTCGGCGCTACTAAGTCCGAGAAACTTTTAAGCCTGTTGCCACGCTTGTCAACTGAATCCAATAGGTCGTGGTAAAACAAACACTAATCTAATCTTTTATAGATTTTAAGATATGATTTATTATCCCAAATGTTATACTATGTAAAATATACATGTTTCCTTGTTTACGTAGTAGAGAGGTGATTCATAAATACTCAGATCTAAATACCAACTTATTTATAAGGTAAATTATTAATCAATAACTTGAGACGGATAAGCCATTGGTTTTATTAGTGTTCTATATATCAAAAATAGAAATGGAGCAGGAACCGGATATCCCTCTGCTATAGAATTTTTTCTCAGAAACTATATACTCGTACAGGAACTTCAATCTTACATATAAGATATAATTTTTTATCTTAACATATAACATGTAATTTTACAATGTATAGTCGAGAGAAATTCATTAATTATCTTGTGTGATATAATATTCAATAAAACGGATACGATGTTTTACCACTGTGGTAAGTTGAAAGGAGGCGTTCAAAGCCGAAAAAAAACTGCAATACACACAAAGAATTTCGTCGATAAATGTCCGAAAAAAGTGATTTGATCCTTATCTCTAACTTTATTTTTTTCCATCCTCTATGCTTTAATGCCACTATAACTAAAAACATATAAATTAAAAATAAAACATAACAATTTTATGGTTTGTCTATGTGTCTATAATATGTTTATAATACTATACTGTGAATAATTTTAACAAACTTATTAATTTTAAATATTTCTCAATATTTATTTACAAAAAATAATAAGTGTAAATACATATATATGTAACTATATAATATTATGGTCACTTATTATTTTATAATATGATAGTGTAACTTTTTAATCATGCATTTAAATTTTTAACACTGGCACACTCCATCTCCCGCTGTTCAGTGTTCCTATGCGTCAAAGGTTGTCTGGAAGAGATCGCGCACAGCGATAAGCCATCCTTTGCCCACATTAGGGTGTTTCTACAGTTTAAAAAAAAGGTAAATTATTTTTTATTGTGTTTGAAAATAGTATGGGACTGAGGATGTACCCCATCGAGTATAATGTACCCTAACACCAGAGAAATAAAAGGCTCAGATATGCAATTAATATTGAAGACGATATTTGGTTTTTAAAAATATGTCTTGCTACGGTAATGAAGAATGGACATGGAAATGATGTTTCATGATAAGGTAGTGAAATATACGGTTACTGTAATGATATGCATGCATATAAAAAAAAGAAAATTGTGTGTAATTTTTTTTTTTTATTAATTTTTCATTCCTATTCGTAATGACAAATAGAAAATTTAAACCTAAAAACTGAACCTTAAAATTGCAACAAAACTAACAAAAGTATCATCTGCAAAGTACCACCAAATCTTCATCAGGAACTTTAGGTGTTAATTATTATTAATTGGGTCTCTGGGTTACTGCAATCAGTCTGCATTTTTCTAAGACATTAAAATGTACATATGTGCGTGCGCGTGTTCATGTACGTTTGTATGTACGTGTATGTATAATGTGTAAATTCTATTACTAGTAACAATATAATTATTAACGTTTTCTTTGCTAATAGCTATTTGTTAGTAAACAACCTTGTATTATTAATTAAATCAACAAAACATGATATTTTCTAAAACCCAATAAAAAAAGTAGAAAAAATCGCTTACTTAACCCGCCGGCACTCGCTAGTATTTACAGACATGATTACTCGCTACCGGGTAAAAAATACCACAGAATTTAAGGGCATTATCTAAGAATAGAAAATTGATTTATCAATCTGTGAAGATGTAGTAGTTTTAATGATGGCATTCTTAATAAATAAAATTACAAAATACAACTTGTAATGAGTAGTTATAAAAATTATACATTATCGTAGAAAAGTACTAAAATTTGAAAAAAGAAAAAAATGTATACTGCTGTAAGAATCAACAAAGATATTTTTTATTTTTAGGAATCTGCAAAATTGAGATCAATATCAAAAAATAGACTTAATGTAATATCAAAATAACAAAATATCAGTATTCTTATAATACGCGAACATTGATAAGACCGACATGACGCAATATGTTCCAAGCTCGTTGGTCCAAATTAATCTATTTTACTCTATCGTAGCAATTGCCACAAATTGGGATCGTATGCTCTCGGTATATCTTTTTGAAGCACAATTCACAGCCTGTCTTCGTCTTCCGGTCTTTTTTCCATTCACATACGCCGCAGCGAGAAGCAGAAACAGATGGGCGAGATCGAGATGTACTTGCCGACGTCTTTTCAATATTCAAGTCCTCGTTGAGCATAAACTTGGTTTTTGCCTTTATAGATGATGATAAATTAGGTACTAATGCCTTCTTCTGTATCTGTGGCATCACAAGACTCAAAGCTAAATCATTAAAGGCAATCCTCCCCTTAGCTATCACAGCTCCATTATTTTCTCGTTTCACCTTCACTATAACGTATTTGTGCGTTGATTCCGCGATCTTCAGAAGTCCATAAAAGAATACCAATGACCCTCTACTAGTTGCCCGTGCCACTGAGTAGGTAGCACAAAACTCATCCACAACATCAATACCATACTTGGTTCTGTTATAGTCTATTATCATTTCTGGCTTTATTTCTTCTCCAGAATATTTTTTGCCATCATGGTGCTTAGTTGATGTCAAGAGAACCACTTATTCTTCTTTGGGACATATGATACCACCGTATACAGTGTTCTTGAAACCCGAAAAGGGTGCTACAATCTTCTCTGACCTGAGTCGTCGTAAAGACTGACGAAAATAATCGTAAGTGAACTGAAAAATAATATAACAAGTACTGTCGCTACCGGGTATTTTTTACCCATACTCACTTTATTCGCATGTCGTCTCCAAAGGCCGCGTGCAAACTGGTTGTCTCGTGGTGTGCATATGCATTAACTATTGGTTAGAAGGTACGTAGAGCCCCGTGTCGCCAGGGCGCTCAGAAAATAATAATTATCGTACATAAATACTCTGTGGTATTTTTTACAAAGTAGCGAGTGTTGCCGGGTTTAAAGTTTCATATTTTTAAAGTTATACTCATTCAATACTATTCAAACAGTATTTTTAATAATTTTTTTTCATTTTCTCTTTACCCTTACCTTTTCCTCTCATGTTACCCTTATTAGTATTGTCACGGTTTTCGTTTTCTTTTATTCTGGTTAGTTTAGCCTCTACATCTTACTACTCTAATGAAATAATTTATACCAACTTTTTAAAATTACTATCTCTATTTAGTGTTAAACTGCCTTCCGATCTTTCTTCTATAATTTTTTCCAGCTATGTGATTTTCTGTCTTTCTTGATACTTGTATATTATTTTTGGTATATGTAGAAAGTTTTCAACTTCTTATTCTCTTTTTCCACATCTCTTATAATATTTTTCAGCAGTTTTACCTTTTTGTCTCTTTGGTATCTCAGTCGTTTTATTTTTTGCTCTCAACTGAAACAATTTCTCAGGGATGTTCATGCTCGTATTTATTGGTAGAATAACTAACTTGTATTTAGCACTTAGGTCTACCATCCAGTCTATTTAATTAACAGAAGTATATGTTAATCTTTTGCCTTTATGAATAATTAGATATTGCAAATACGTACCAAATTATATGCAATTCTGTAATGAGACTTGGACTGGTTAAAACACCTGTTTAATGACTTCGATTTAAATTTTCGGTGAGAAAGACAACGTGAGGTCTATCTCGAGGAATCTCAGCAACACACTAAAATTCACAAAAGCGTTAGCGATGATTCGCATTGTCGGTCAAATGAAAGTTGCAAATTTCACGTTCTGGTAATGATTTTTTTACTGTGTCATAAGTTAAACATCGTGTAAATTTAGATTTTAATTGCCAAAATTTAAATTTTTCGTTGAAATTTTATGAAAAATTAATTAAATATTTAGTTACTAAATACTATTTGGCTTTCTTACCTGTGTGTGTTTTGCCTTTCTTTTTAATATCACAATTTTGTAAACTGTACAGAGTAGAACAGGCTCCAGTAATGAATTCTTAAGTATTTTTTTATAGATATTTTTAAATTGTCGTGAAAACATGAAATAAGTTGTTGCAACACTTAGAACAAGTAGATGGATATAAGTTAAAATTATTAAAATGAGTCAATAGTCTATGTTAATTTTTTATTCCATTGGAACAACGTCTATATTTGTTTTTGTATATAGAAATGTAGTTTCTACTTTACATTTACCCATTGATTCATATTCACCCATTGATTAATATTCACCCCTTGATTCATATTCACCTATTGATTCGAAGTTGTCTATGTACCGTTTTTGTTTTTTGTGTATGAGCAATAAAGTTTATTATCTATCTATCTATAATTTTCAGGTATATAATTGACACATAGAAGAATTTCGTCGATGTATTATTTCCAGCAATGTCCGAAAAAGTGATTTGATCCTTATCTCTATACCTATGCCATTATTATATTATTGTATTATGCCACTATAACTAGAAACATAAAAAATTTATGATTTGTCAATGTGTTTATAATATGTTTTTTAATACTATACTATTAATAATTATAGCAAATTTATTAATTATAAATATTTCTCAATATTTTCTAAAAACACAAAATGAATATCAATTCCAGCCATATCCGAAAAAAGTGATTTCACCCTTGTCTCTAATGCCACTATAACTAGAGGCATAAAAATTGTATGGTTTGTCAATGTGTCTGGAATATGTTTATAATACTATACTATTATTAACTATAACAAATTTATTAATTATAAATATTTCTCAATATTTTCTAAAAAAACAAATTGAATGTCATTTCCAGCAATGTCCGAAAAAAGTGATTTCACCCTTGTCTCTAATGTCACTATAACTAGAAACATAAAAAAATTATGATTTGTCTATGTGTCTATACATTTTTTCCATCTTCTATGATAATACTAAACAAACATTAAGAATACATGTTATTATATTCTCTTAGTAAAACGTCAATTACTGACAAATTTTCATCCTCACATCCCGAAAAGGCATGAACACTATATTTATCTTTTGTATCAAATGGTATTTTACGCTTTGTTGACAGGGATTTACTGTATAAAATTGGTTTCGTGTAACGATATCTTTTTGAAGTTTTGTCTACGTGTTGAGTATTATATTTACACATACGAGGGTTTTTGCGTATTAATACAAGGGCGTCATCGCTTGTAAGCAATCTAGTGAGCGAGTAGTTACAATTATCATTATCATGTTTACTGAAACAAGGCTGGTATAACTTCAGTTCCTTATTTTGGCTTTCATCTACAAATTTCATAAGGGATTCTACAGCTACCATAGTTTCTTTACAAGTATCGAATATCTGAGTTTCTGGTAGAATGAACCGCTTTCCACCCTTGCGTAACTCAATGAGATAGGAAAATGGTATTTTAGCTGATCCGTAGCTCCAATCTAAGCTGGTACCCGCTCCACAGTATATTGTATCTCTGAACGTTCCTACTTTATATATACGACCTGTTGTTTGATATATTGCCTGCAACAAATTGGTAGTTAAAATTTTTGTCAACGCTCTTAAAAATTGCACCTTTAGTGTAATAAAGCCACATCTGCAATATTCAAAATCTGCAAATTCATGATAAAAATTCCACGAAAGAAATTAGTCGAAAATGTTTTTATGCTTAAATTAATAGGTTAGCTGTAAAATTTCACATATAAGGTCAGGTGGTGTAAAAGGAATACCCGGGGGAAGAGTGAGTTGAATCCTTAAGGGCGCATTTATTTGACACGAATTGTAACGCGCTCACTCCGCGCGGCCGCCGCGCGGTCGCCTAGCGGGGACCGCGTGCGTCTAACTGTCTTGACAAAATACGCTCTATTCATTTAGCTTTTACGTTTTAACTTAAATGAGCGTCCCGGACACGCGGGCTTTTAAATTTCAGAAAATAGAATCCAGATTCGCCATTAATGTCCATGAAAGCGTGGTAACTGGGCGCTAAGGCGATTCACCGGACAAAAAGCGGAAAAAACTGTTTTGCTGCAACAAATCTTCAAATGTTATAGACATTTCCTATTAAATAACAGTCTTACAAAAATTTACGATACACCTAAGGATATTATCTTATGAACGTACTAATTTGTTATAGGATAGGATGTACTTTATCCGATCATATAAAATCTTGAAAATAGGCTTAAAAAAGTAAAACTTTAAAGCGAATTATTTAATAATAAAATATTTAACTTTGCATATAATTTTTGTATGGATTCTGTACTTTATTTTTATATTTATCTATAAGTACTACGGAGAACCTTTTAAATTTTGGTTTTCAACTGAAGCCCTGTAGGTACTTGTTTAGTTCACATTTATGCCAAAACTTGAAAATTGTCCAGCGATTTAACGACACGCCGAGCCGCCTTTTGTCAGTTGCCATTTGGCGCTAGTCAACGTCTGATTTGTATCAAATTTTCTCTGCATTTTATTATTTTATTCATACTAATTATGAGCGCGCGGATTGCTGGACGCGACAGGCGGCTCCCAAAAACATCTACTCCTAAAATCTAGGTTCGCATTCAATACCTCGCTTTAACTAGTAACCTAAAGAGTTTAGCAGTCTCTGTGTATATAATACAAAAAAATAGTTTAAACGATTTTAAAGAGATGTCGTTACCGATGCTCCGAATCCAATAGGCGGAAAAAACAAATTTGACGGTTGTGAAATCTTGAGAACACGAGGTATATATTAATTAAGTCAGAGAATAAAGAATAAGAGAACGCAAGAGACACTCTCCGCCCCTCCCTAGTTTTAGATACCGAACCACGTCCCGCACATTGCCGGTCACATTGACTGAACGACAACAAGGCTGCCGCCGAGCCGTTTTCTCGGACGGCTTTGCTATTTGAATATAGTTTTCTTTATTCATTATGAAACTTGTACGTTAATATAAAACATCATTTTATGTTACTATTTGTAATGGTCGTGAATTGTCCTGTGTACGGCTGTTTATCATCATTTTCCGAAAGATGAAACGAAGTAAGTGAAAAACAAACTTATGTCTGAGACTCATTGTTTTCTTCATTTATTTACTGCAGAGTAATATATGTATGTATAAAAAATACACATTTATTATATCGATATAATGAGACGCCATGACTTCGCGAATTTTCTATTCGTATTGCCGATAAATATTACGTAGGTAGTCAATATATCTAATTATTAACTAAACTTGGACAAGTAATTTCAAATACCTTGGTTACCTTACTTAAAAGTACATGTCCTAAATATAACATTTAAGAGCTTTTAATATATTTTTGAAATAAATCTTCAATATTACTCTAGTTAGTGAATTAATGAAAAATTAATAATATATCCATTGACTTACAAATAAATGGACGACGGGTCTAATACAAAAACCACGAAAAACATGTCCCAAGTCAACCTATTCGAAATTTAAATTGTAATGTCATCGCAGTATCGCGCTGTCAGTAGAACAAATGAAGACTAAAGCGGAGTGTCGCGCTCTGTATACGATTTTAGCGCCTTACAAGTGCGGACACTTTTTAGCGCGGACCCGACGTCCATATAATTGTAAGTCAATGAATATATCGATATAAATACCTAATAGACATGAACAATTATTAGGATTCTATTAATAGAATCATAGATAACAGATTCGCGTTAGAATTTTCGCTATGTTGCCGCTCTGATCACGTAACGTGATAGTGCGAGAAAGTCATGGGTAACACTGCCACTTCACGCACACATTTGCGCGTGTGGAGATAGCGCCTTGCTGTATGTAGTAGTAGTAGGTAAATAATTTTCGACCGTTGTATGGAGAGTCCGGGTTGTGCCTGCGTAAGAAATACGATGTACTATACCCCATCTTTTGAGGGAAGAGAAACGTAAGTATTGAATTTGGCGTAATGATGCAAAACTGATAAACAAAGGCATGTTTAGTGTATTTCCAAATTCTTGTAGGACTTATCTGTTGTTCCTAGAGCTCAAAACGTTTGACTTAAAGCAAAGAATGTTCCTCTAACACCACCTGACCTGACAAGTAGACAAAAACCTTCGCGCACTGCATGCTGGGAGGAGATGCCACAAGATAGGGTACACTGGTGTCTACTCGTATCGGAGGCCAAGACCCACTTCGGGTGACTCATCCGCCGGAGTGAGTCCGTATTATTTTCTATGAGTTTCATGTGATAAAAGTACTTTTGGTACGATGACGTGTGTGGCTTTATTATACTATGGGTAGAAATTTGTATTGTCATCATTGTTACTTTGGCCATCACAGCACCACCCTGCATAAGCTTTACATAATCCGGGCAAGGTTCTGAAGTATAACACCATGGAATAGTGATCGCTTGTTCCGGTGAGTGAAACGTCAGGAATATCTCGAATTGTTTTCCCAACTTCATAATGAAATTCTGGAAAACATTAAAAGCACATGTATAGATTCTGTAACGTGGTTTTCGATAAAGTTATTATCTTCATCCATTCGTCTACCTTCATTCATGGAAGTGTGGGGTGTGTTGGGTTGCAAGAAAAGAGCCTTCCCGCACGGCGTGCTATTCCTTAGCGTAAATCTGGAGCACCCAGGACAACAATCGACGAGTTATACTCGTCATATACACAAGATACCTGACCTCCTGAGCAATTTGTTAAACAAACTTAATCTTTAACCTGTGAGCCGTAAAATATATTTTGGTATGACTCCTCGGTCGTCTCATTAGTGAATGACATTTTAAGAAAGTTTTTAAGCGAATTTGATCTTTAACGTATGGTTCTTACTTAAATACAGACCACAAATTTCAATCAGATTTAGTAACGCCGTCGTGGCCAAACGGTATAAGGATTGCTTTGCAAATTGCGATAAGCATGGTTCGAGTCACTTTAAAAATAATAATAATAACAATAATAATAATAATAATAATAATAATATCTTTATTAACACTTTTGCCTTATAATTAGTACAGAGCAGCAATTTTATTATTTATTTAACAAAATTTTATTGGTACCTATAGATATAACGTAGCACAAAATATAAAATAAGGCGTACCAAATTTAGAGATTCTGCCTCCTAAACTAATCAAAGACTGTATCTTAGGAGGCAGATAAATAAAGATAAAATATTGTTTAGCTATGGCTACATAATATTGTATGTTTTTCTGTTTTTAGCGTCTGGATTAAGTAAGGAATGTCTAAGTTTTGTTCATACAGAACAATAATTTCTAATTTTAATAATTCCGTTAAGTGCGAAAGAAAACTTTGAAAGTCACTAAAACCTTGACAGTAATTAAAACTGAATAGACAAATAGGAACGAAACGTGGAACAATGCGTAATCACAGAAGTCACGATCGTATGCAAACTGCAGAGCGATTTCATGATTTGTTAAACTATCCATACCCACCCTACGTTTTATTAATAATATCTACCCACCCACCTTTGGCAATTTCTAGTGAACAAATATTGTGATTTGTCAACGTTAACATTAAAAAGTGAAACAATGCTGTTAAAAATATAATGTTAAAACAAGATAGTGCTCGTAGAATCGAACCACGGGTATTGTAACTGGCAGTCGATACAACAAGCCGCTCGTCCAATTTACTTGGAAGTTAAATGCCGAAATTTAGTATTGGTTTTAAAGATATGTTGATTATCTTCAAGCAACACTCCACTATATTGCTTTCAAAATAAATAAAATTCTTTGTTCAATACGGAAGATGACTCTCAGAACCAAAAGGTCGGTTTGCATGTCGGCATGTTATGTGGTCAGGTATCTCATGTATATGACTGTACCATACGCCGCCCGATGGGCAAATCTTTTTACCACGGTGGTAAGAATTACAGTTTATGTTATCGATATGATATGAAGAAGACTCATGGAAAATTCAATAAACAAATGATTATCACTAGTATCAGGTTTCTTACCACGGTATGACTTCTTTTTATTTCGAAATATCGGGAAAATAAAAAGAAGTCATACCGCGGTAAGAAACCTGATACTAATGATAATCATTTAGTGAATAACCACGAAACTCTTAAAATTCAATAAACAAGTCCCTAACAAATCTGATAAGGAGTCTCATGACTCTAGAAACCATAATAAGTACACAGTAAGTAGTCTAGTGCAACCTTCTTCGTGCCAATTGAACTGAGGATATTACCCGGACAGCAGCAGATTCAGGTTCCGAGAATGGCATTGGTCCTCGATATCGGCTGTGTTGGGGATTCAGCGATGACGATCCTTCATCCTCGTTTGTCCCCCATTCGTAACTGAAACAGAAATTCGATATTTAGTACCTATTGCTATGTAGAATAAGGTTAAATCTCAGTACATCGCAACGAATTGTTTGTAAAATTGTCGAATAACTAGCACGATGTAAATGAGTTTCCATAGAAGACATCACTAAATATGTGTAGTCTAATGAGACCGGCTGCGTTCCTTCAGGCGTGTATTTAAACCGACTTGTCGACTTCTTCCTGAGTTACCGAGGCGTGGTATGTATTGACTCAGTTTTCATTTGTTATGGCTTAACTTCATGCCTTTTGACCATACGTTATAAAAAATATTTTCCTCAGAATTTTCGTCACATGACAAACTCACAGTACCATTCAGCTTCTATTAACATGTTTAAGACTTCTGTAGTTTATTTTTATATTTAATATATTTTATTCGATTATTTAAAACATAACCTCAAAAACTTCAAAAATTTTTTATAACAAGTTATAATTATTTCACCTGAAATTCCTATTAAGATCGACGCCCACTACTTCTCGGTTGCAAATAGCTCGGTTTTTTCTCCATAATCTCACGTATTGCGTGTAGCAGTAACCGTCTGGATTTAATACTGGGACTATATACCTGTTCATTACAAATATCAGGTTATTACTAACTTAATAAATAAAATATGCTCAGAATTAAGCATATTTCGTACAGGTATCTTAAATTATTTAAATTCCGTCAAGAACGTGTCCACATTAATCATGTAAATGGAGGCAATAGAAACAACAAGAGAATTTCCAAATGTTGGAGAATTACATTTAAGAAGCCATGGGATACTGATGGCATCAGTTGTTTATAAACGTGTTTACTTACTCGTAACAGATACTTACACCGGCACATTTAGCAGAACAAGGAAAAAGTGAGAATATAAAATAATAACATTTATATTAAATAGATAAGAATTAGACATAAAGTACCAATTAACATCTTTTACCTTGACTTAGTCACAACCTTACTCTAACTTCATTCTAAAAAACGAAGGCATCAAAATGCATTTTTTTTTACATTTTGTGACAAAGCAGAAACGGCTGAAAAAGTAAACATTTAGTTAAACATTGATGAATCTTAGTTTATAAAAAAACTTTTTCAACTAAATTTTGCGAAATTTCTAATAACGCAAAATGAATCTCGAACCACTCAACAAACCTATATTAGTAGAAAATTAAAACAAATTAATAAAAGAATCACAGTCGACTTATTTTTTATTTTTAAATTGGGCCTAAAATAAAAATTTAAAATAACTGGTCAGGCTTTTGCAAAACATTGCATCATTATCAGTATTTTACTATTGTTTCTGGATTTTTTATATCCTGGTTCAAAAAGACTCAGGTGATAACATCACTTTTATTAGACTGTTAAAAGGAGCTATGACAGTAGCTAGTAGTCTAGGACAACGCGCAGCTATGTTTAACTTGTTCCTTTGTTTTGGGGGTTGTACGAGTACTAGTGCTCCGTTAAATGTGCCTGTGTGCGTTCCTTTCTTTTTATGATACCAAGTGGGACGGGACGAAGAAGGCGTAGGCCTGGTGGTAAGCGACATGTCTGACAAACAACAGGTGTATTAGGAAATGAAACTATTTTTCCGGATTTAAATCGCGTATATTTGTTTTTTCAAACAAACCGACGTTTTAGTTTATTCTAATTTCTATTAATAATTAATAATAAATTAAACTTAATAAAAATTCATTCAATAAAATAATTTGTAAAACTTAATGTAGCGTAAATTGGAATGTTTTCTTTGTAAAATTAAAAATAAGGTATTTAATTAATAACTATTGTAACTATAGTGAAAAAATAGGGTGGTTTGCATTAATATTAGACATAACTGGTTGAAGACTGTACCACCTCAGTCAACCGTGACCATGGGACCTGTAAAGGGCCCGAAACGTAGGTTTGTTTGAAAAAACAAATATACGCGATTTAAATCCGGAAAAATAGTTTCATTTCCTATGTGTAACAATCGCGAAAACCTAAGAACTCAACAGGTGTATTGTCACTCAAGACTTTAAATCACGATGTATTATAGAGAGGTACTACCGCAACAAATTGTAATTTCACTAGCGGGTGCTAACCAAACCGTATTGTTAACGTATTGCTGACATTACTGCTTGGCGGCAGAAATAGGTAAGATGGGAGTACTTCCCTGGACAAACTCTTTTACAAGGAGATCTATTGCTAGTAAACTGTGTACATTATACCAGTCTTTATTAGTAATGTAGGAAGGAAGTCGCTCGAAGTTTTTGGCTATTAAGTGAGCGATGAAGGTGACGACACTGGTGCTTATCCATTCTCGGGAGTGTATAGTTCCGTCGAGCCACACCGGTCTGTTGGTTTCGTCGGTGTTGGATATCTTCAGCATCTGAGAAGAAGTATCACCATAATACAGGATTTTGTATTTAGAAGGAGGATTCAAATTCGGCAGGGAAACTCCGCTGTTCCCTTTATCTGTTGAAGGTCTTGGATTTGTCTGTTCAAGCGTTTTCAGCTGCATCTACGGGACGGTGTTGAATTGTAGATGTTTGTTTGTTGTGTATCCTTGTAAGGCCCTTTTAATTTGTTACAAGCATTAATGAACAAAATAAGTGCGGAATTTATATGTAATTATCAAAACAATAGACACTATTAATCATACATAAAGAAACATTTTTTAAATACTGAAGATATAAACTGTATTTTGTAAATTGCTTAATTTGTTAGAAAGAGTGTATGCATATGTAAGTGAGCATGTTTTTGTGACTGTCTATATGTAATTAAGTCAGTTTTTAAGATTTTTGTTCTATTATTTTATATTTTTAGTTAAATTAGACTGAACTCCTTCGCTGCGGATAAAGCCGGAAGATCTTTTGTGAGGGAAGTTTGTAATTAGTAAAAAATTAATTTCTGTATTTTGGTCAACAAACTAAAAACAAATCAATAATATTCTATGATCACGTAATCGCTCAGTTATGTAGAAAAAACACATTTTTCATATAAAACGGACATACTTGCTCGAAACATGCAATTAAATATCGTCAGTGGTTTGTAGAAAGGGCGTAAGCGACATTTTGAAAAGTTTTTCAGGGGAGCATATTTTAAGTTTTAACGACTGTTTTAAAATATTTACGTTCTGATTTAAAATCAATTTTGCCTTTAATTAAGTTGAGTTTTATCGCGAGTCGATGGCACGTCAATGGTGTAGTCTACTAACTATTTCAAAGTTAAAGACAGTTCACTATGGTGACCACCCTGAGAAGAACGAGCAAGAAACTCTGGGGATTGCTCTTTTCAAATTAAGTTAAATGCTATGGAATACGCGTTGAATCATAATTGTGTGGAATCTAGACTCTTGTTGTCTTTCCATAATTCTTTATCTAAAACATTCTTTAGAATTTTGTGATATGACTTTTAAATTAAAATACTTTTAATGTAAATTTTGGCTTCCCTTTGTCGTGTCAGAACGCATTTGTTATCAAATATCGATCATATTATTTATAGTACATCTAGTATAGGGAATTTTGGCCGTAGACTAATTATTGTTATAACTAAAAATAATCTTTATAATCACAAACCTTTATAGCCAATCCGCCTAAAGATCTTCCGATATCTCTCACTGTACAGATGGCTGGATATTCCATTTCCAAATAGTGTAGGAAATCATAGATCGTACTCAATGTATGGTAGTGACGCCAATCGATTAATACTCCTATTAAAAAAAGCCGTGTTAACATTGTGATTACAAAGATCAAGCAAAATTAAAGAGTGGTAAGGTAAGGTGTTCACAGGTTTCTTCTAGATGTAACAACGAAGTAAAATCAAAACTGTTTAAATACTAGTCTATGGCCTAAATCCTTTTTGTAAAACGTTTTACACGGGTGCCCTGTGAATCAATTATACTAAACAATTGCTCAATCCTCTTTGTTCTCAAAATAATAATGGATTCAGGGTGCTATTGTGCTTTCCGCGCTTTATGTTAATGTTTGCATATATGCAAACTGATGAATAATCATTTCTATGCTATGAAGAAGAACGCATTTTCACTGCAGAAGCCTAGCACTAACAGTATCCTGAAAATCTATTGTGAAAATAGTTGGAGTCTATGCTTAGACATTTTATTGATGTGCTGTAGCACGCCTATTACAATTTTCAAATAAATGTGCTTTTACATAAGTCAAAAATATTAGTTTTTGGTGTAGTCCTGATATAAACAAAAAAAAATATTGTCACGTGTATTTGCTCGATCACTGCCGACGCTAAACGCGCACCATACATTATGCACTATTTTATTATGAATAATTTTATTACACAAGGTCAACCTTGTTCTTATTTATGTTATCCCCTACGCTGACAAAAACATATTATATTATAAGTTGAAATCAAATGTTAAAGCGCACAATGTTAAACACACGCGCGCGATTTTAAGTAGCGATGCAAACGCGCGACTGTGTCGATACAAACGCGCGATTGCATGGTTACACTTGGTATTTATAGGCGATTGCATCGATGCAGTCGCGCGTTTGTATCGATGCAGTCGCGCGTTTGCATCGATGTAATCGCATATAAATCGCAAGTGTATAGATGCAATAGCGCATTTCACAACGAGGCTACAAAGAGTCAATTAATATTACTTACAAAAGTGACGATTAATTCGTAGACCGTGCAAAAACTTTGTATTATTGTCGCATCGACAGTGTACCACAATTTTTGGAAACCTGCTTGTCGTAGATTTTCAAAACATTTGGATGAATCTCTTAAGGAAATTCAAGCATGACTCATATAAAATAGAGTATTGATCAAGGTGGTGCAAAATGTATCTGTATTGTAAGTTAATGCATACCTTTATGTTTTGTTACCCTGTCTCGGGTGTTCTCAGATATTCTCCTTTCTTTTTTCGTCTTCGCTAATTTACTTGTATGCGATTTTCCTTTGCTTGGCACTTTCTTTTTCGTTTTTCTGGCACTGTCCATATTAGTTTTCTCTAAATTATTTCTAGGCATCGTTTTAAACTAAGTACACTGAGTCCAAATTCAATTTGTTTAAGTAAAGTGTGCGTATTGTTGAAATCTAGCTGATAATATAGCTTTATTGTAATTTTGTTGTAGGTACTATTGTGTTGTTGTTGTTTCTTAAATTAGACATAACTCAATGAGTGGTGTTTTAATGACATATTTTGTATCCATTATATGTTACTGAAATTTCTTGAGTTGCACTCAAAGATATCTATTGATTACATTTTGATAAAATAACGATATTATTAGTGACAAGAATACATCCCTTTGACATTGTTGGTAAAGAAATTCAATCACTTCACTTCACATTTTATTTTTGTGGCTCCATCATTCCATGCAAGGATAATTGTGTCAATGTCAAAAAATAACAGAACAAAAAAAAAACACAGTTCTATTATGACATTAATTAGTCGGTGTCGATGGGTTGATATTTTTTTCCATCCTTTGGTTGATCCACAGAAATATTCAGGCGAGAATCTAAAACAAAAGACAGCACAAACACGTAACACGAATTTCTATGTAAGTATATGAATGTACCTGGATGAATTTATATACAGTAAAATGAGATTGATAGTTTTAATTTTTACGATGACAGCGTTATGTCATAATCGCAGAGTCTATGGCCATTCCCATAACCATAGATTTAGGATTTTTTCGCTACCTATATCTATGCTCATAACTTACATTATTTTTTTTCTATCAGAGACTCTTTGGCGAACACCTTCGGTTTCTCATTTAGGCCGGGTCAGGAGTTGATTCAGAACCTTACGATAACTCATTTACCGATCGACTCGATTTGATATATTCACAACCATTGACTTACAAATAAATGGACGACGGGTCTAATACAAAAACCACGAAAAAAATGTCCCAAGTCAACCTATTCGAAATTTAAATTGTTATGTCATCGCAGTATCGCGCTGTCCGTAGAACAAATGAAGACTAAAGCGGAGTGTCGCGCTCTGTATACGATTTTAGGGCCTTACAAGTGCGGACACTTTTAAGCGCGGACCCGACGTCCATATAATTGTAAGTCAATGTTCACAACACCCGAATCGAACGTCAAACTGTCGTATTCGAAACCAAACCGAAATGACGTCACATCCGTACGATTACTCGAGCTTCTCCGGCAAAGGCTACAAACGTTATCAGAACACTGTTAGCGAATGAAAGTTACCGAACGTCCTATTGTTTACAAAGAAAGAATGTAATATGGAAATCTCTTATTATTTTAAATAAAGTCTGGATTTTGTTCAATTTTATTAATTTATTTTAATGCAAGACTAATGCATCCCTATATTTTAGATTTTTAAAGTTTTAGAAATGCGTATAAAAGGTCTTTTCATTTTTCTTATAATCTATTTCACCGATTAACTCCGTAAACGTTGTTGGATAACGATATCGTATCCCAATCCGAATCGAACTTTTAACTCGGTATGTTCTGAATAACTCGGAAAGCGCCCTTCGATTCGAGAACGACGTCCACTCGAACGATTCGGTTAAAATATCGACGAGTTCTGAATCGGGGTCCTGGAGCTGCAGGCATCCAGCTAGCAAAAGCAACTATTTCTAGGCCGTTGGTCCATCTTGTGGGTGCTCTAAAAGAAATCTTTTACGCTCCAAAAGGTAATTGGTTCTACGAGTCATCAGCCGTGAACATAAACGTAATCTTCGAGTAGTCTTTATTTTTAAATGTTGTACATTTTAAGATATTGTAAGGGCCATTTACTCATGCGGTGGTAGCCTCGTGGGTTCGAATCCGGACTCGCGCCTCTAAGTATGTGCGAAATCTAATTTGAAATTTATCATAAGTTTTTCAGTGAAGGGAAACATTGCGATGAAACCGTTACGTTGAAGAAGGTTCACGACTCTTGGAAAACCTGTGAAGTAACTGCCTCCGCGGCGGAACGGTTATAATAACCGTATGGTAAACGAGTCTTTTATGGGGAACTGTATACGTTTTTAAAATAAGATTCCGGAGCATATATTAAGTTTACCATTTCCTAAGTTTAAAACTTACATTTAAAGTGTTTTAATTGAAAAGTCATATTATAACTATGTGTTAGATAAAGATGTATGGAAAGACAACGTGAGTCTAGCTCCCACTCAAAATGTATTCTATAGCATTTAAGTTTATTTGAAAAGAGCAATCCCTAGAGTTTCTTGCTTGTTCTTCTACGGGAGGTCAGCGTAGTGAACGAGCAGTAGCTTAAAAAATTACGTTTTCAAGTGTAAAAATTTTTACCTATGGAATAAATTTCATGTGTCTTTTCTTTGTACAATAAAGAATATTATTATAAATGATTGACTTCAAGGCCGATTCCCGGGCCGGGAGAAATATTTGTATGGCTTATATTTATTTCTCTCGTGAGTTTGGGTGTCATTTGTTTATGTATGTGTCCATGGCACTCGCGACACAGGTTGTCCCTAGTGCGGCTATGTTGAGTGTGTGTATTATTATTAATCTATATTGTGTTAGCGTGGCGGACTATGCTCTAAAGTCTAAATCATAACTTCCCAAAGTGGGCCCTACCACCCCCAGTGGGCGCTAAAGAGTCCTAAAAGGGCGGTGGGGCCTCTGAACAATTGGGGGCGTTATGCTGTACAGGCAGAGCTACCACAAATGAAAATTAAAACCTGAATTATCTATACTTAGGGAACCTATAAGCTTGGGAACCTATGGTCTAAACCTTCCACTGAGAGCATACGGGTACCTAGCAGTGGAACGTATAAATGGGACTATGATCATGGCAAGACCTGTCTACTATAATGATGAAAGCACACAGTTGCATTTACCAGTATCGAATTTAGAACACGATCGAGTAGAATTAGAATTTAGCAGTAAACTTTGTCGGAGTGGAGTCCCGTCACTCCGCGGTGGAAGGTCTGTCGCTGGCATCACACGAAACCCGCAGTCTATTCGAGAGACAGGCAGAACTCTGACTATTTAGATTGTTAACAATGCCGTTTCTACGTGTCCTTATTTTATTCAGATGGCCTCCTATGTAACCAAATTTGCTTTGAAGGACAGTTTAAGAACTCTTAGAGATCACTTTAATGAGTCTAAATACGATAGTACTACGTAAGTAGCGGAGTAGTTGGGTAGTCCTGATTGCGGCATCGGATTACGGTTACCATATTATTGTAATGTTTTCCTAATGTTACAGGATTTCCATTATATAACAAATTTCAAGTTAATCGAACAAGTGAAGGTCAAAATAAATGGACAATGCACAATACTTAAAATAATCTACTTGTAGGATGATCCCTGTGATAGTTTATAAAAAATCTTCACTATATGACTTTGTAACGACGTGCACTAATTTACGTAATTCATAAACTATTTTTTAAACCACGCTTTTAAATGAATAGCCTTTGTACAAGTAAATATATTAAATTAAAGTAAAACTAACACTAAATCATTAAACATTTTTTTTATAAATTCATATTTTTTTTACTATGACGTGCAAAGGTTCTTTTTGTTTTTTTTTTGTTACTTCATTACATTGCATTTGCTAGAGATGAGGCATATCTACAAAAGCTTTCGATAATTTGAAATTCGAAGTGTGTTAAAGTGAATAATTATTCATTTTATGACACTGATTGGGAAAAGATGATATGATCTTATGATCTTTAAACTGCAGAATCCCGATTAGAATTAGCCATCAAGTTAAAAAAAGAACCGCTTTGCGATCAGTCCATCCAAATAACTGCCTCCTTGGCCGAATGATTACCATGCAGAGGTCGCGGGATCGATTCCCGGGCCGAGAGAAATTTTTGCATGGTCTACATTTATTTCTTTCCTAAGTTAGGGTGTAATTTGTGGTTATCCATGTGTGTATCTATGGCACCAGCGACACAGGGTTTCCTTAGTGCGATTGTGTGCGTTATTTATTATTTATTTATATTATAGTCAAGCACACATGCAGAAACACAGCCAAAGGCTTTTCATATTTCCAACTTCCCCTTTTTTTTGCGTCAGGGGTTAAAAAGATTTCGATTTCAGAACCCTTGGAGCATCAGAACCTATTGTTATTTAGTTAGGAACCTATTAATAATAGTAAAATTTTTCGTCTTTCGGGACAGGCAAAGGCATCTAAGCCACAGTGCCAGATTGTAGATTTTAATTTTTATTCGATGATTTAATTTAAAGGCAATGCCAAATCTTCAGGATTGAAATATATATAAGGCATATTGCCAAATCTTGACTTAACTTGTGTTTGTTGTAAAGTGAGAATGGCATTTTTAAGTTGTAAGGTAAGTACAAGTATTTTCTTTAGTATACAGACACTAGCCCCCTTCACGCAGCCATGCTATCGCGCGTGATCAGGAGCCGTCGGGTATATAACCTGAAATAGAGACGAAATGTCATTTAATTTGTTTGAAAACTATTCTGCCATATCATTACTGTGACAGCCGCGCTACGATTGGCCAGCCCGAATCCGAAACAATTGACGGGTGTCGTCAATTGTTTCACTTCAAATCGACCAGTTAACTTGAGTTTTGCTAATGAAATTTGATTCCGTTTGTTTTGTAATTAGATGTTTTGCTGTTTTTTCCCACACCACCGTATGGAACCGCACGCCATTGTTAGAAATATTTTATCATTATTACAATAAATACAGAATATTTTTGGAATATACGGAGACGAACATACAGGTCAGTTGTTGGCGCTGTACTATTTCAGCTTTCTAATTTGTAATTTCAGTGCAAACGAGAGTTGATATTTATATGTGATATATCACTGATGAGTTATCAGGAAAGTAAGGCCCTTATTTCGTCTCTATTTCTGGGTATATACTCGATTTGCGCGCGGGAAAGCTAACGTTGTTTCGCACGCGATTGCTCGTGTTCGTTTTTGTTACAATGGAAAAAGCGTCCGTGTAAAGGCTAATAGCGCAGGGTAGACCGCGTGATACTGGTGCGTATTGGAATACACGATTGGGCGGTCTTTCCCTTTTCTTCCAACGTCTTTGTGGGGTAAAGCGGCAGTATGCAAAAATATTTGTGTTGTGAAAACGAGCGATTCGTTCTGTGTACCGTTTAGGTTCTCGGATTTCTCTCAGAGGAAAGTTTAAGGAGACTGGTATCATGACTGTGGCATCACAGTACAATTAGTTAAATATTTTGTATACACGTAAAAGTATAGATAGATAGATAGATAGATAAACACTTTATTCACTGATATAACACAAATACAGATTAAGCATAAAAGAAAAAACAAAACATGATAGTCATAGCAGTGAAACGGCGCTGACTCAGCATATGCCAAAGTTTCCTAAGGCGCTGGTTTTCAGTCAGAACCAACGAGAGGGATTAA